AAAAAAAAAAAAAAAAAAAAAAAAAAAAAAAAAAAAAAAAAAAAAAAAAGAAACAAAACAAAAGACAAAGCTAAGTAAAAAATATCTTCTAAACATAGTGTTCATTCTTGCTTTAGGCAGCTGTAAGAAAGGCCCAAAATGTCCAAAAGGAAGCTGCAGAGGACAGTGTAGCCCCCAGGGGGAGGGAAAACTGAAAAATAATTATTAGCAAATCCAAAGATCCTGCCACATACAGTTCCTACTAAAAGGAAAAAAACTTACCTTTTTCAAAGTGATGGCAAAGTCAAAAAAGAAGATACTTAAAATGCAAACTTACGGAGTAAAATGGAGGTATGAATAAAAGTGCTTAGAGAGAATATCCCCCTCCCCATGAGCTAGGCATTGCAAAATACTGGAAGGTAGAGTCAATGGTAAATGTTTACCTCAAACACAGTTTTTCTAAGAAAACCTTCTAGGAAAGGGGAGTCTCAAGATAGATTTTGAAGGAGAGGAAAAACATGGCCTGGCACCAGGAGGAGCTACAGTATTTCCCTTGGTACCATCTGTCTTCAGGGCCACTGACCCCCAAGTCCTTGACTGTCTCACTATGGAATGCAGCCAGCACACAGATTCCTACGGTATGGGTGAGAGACAAACAAGACAGTAGATTGCTCACCTTGGGATACTGACGGTGACATACTTCAGCAAGATGCAGCCCAGTGACCACTCCCAGTCTAGCTGCAAGCCGCTGAAGCAACAGCCCCACAAGGGTGGCCAACAGAAGGATCCAGAGCAACTAAGAAGAACAAAATCTCCTGTAACACTCATTGGATGACTGAGATTTTTTTGTTTAATTGTTTGGCAACATGAGTCGTAAATACTGCATTCAGAAAAGAGCCCAGGTCAAGAATCAAATGACTTGAGTTCTATATCAGGTTTTGCACATGACCTGCTAGGTCACCTTGTACCTTTCTGAGCCTCAGTTTCTCCTATGTTCAAGGAAACTATGTGGATAAAATAAAAGACCAAGTGGAAAGTACTTTACACATAAGAGCCACTGCCAATGAAGTATTTGTATGTAGCCCCTGAGGCTAGTATCTATCCAACATGTAGGGTGGAGAAAAGGATGTGAGGGTGTATTCTGTGTTTAAAAGGACGGGGGTAGGACTAGATGTTCACCTTAAATCCAGCCACTGCTCCAGACTGCAAATCAGATTCGATATTTCCTGGATCCAGGTAGGCAATGCTCATAAGAAAGCCCGGTCCAGTGAAAGCCCAGAGTTTCCGAAAGCTAAAACAAGAGTACTACACAAGAGAGGAAAAGAGATTAAACTGATTATCATCATCAAACTACTGATCTAATTGAACTGTTATCATATATGAAGCAACAATACCAACTTCACAAGAAAAAAGGATTTACAATTTCAGATATTGCTTGTGTCCAAGTTTCACTTCCACCTTATCCACTTTTTATTAAGAAGCTGGCCACTTCTCTGTCCAAGTCAGAACCCTACCCTAACCTGCTTGTTCCATCAGCCTCTTATTCTAAAACCAGAATATCCGGGTGAGGTGGCTCATACCTGTAATCGTAGCACTTTGGGAGGCCAAGGCGGGCAAATCATGAGGTCAGGAGATCAAGATCATCCTGGCCAACATGGTGAAACCCTGTCTCTACTAAAATTACAAAAATTAGCTGGGCGTGGTAGCGCACGCCTGTAATCCTAGCTACTCAGGAGGCTAAGGCAGAAGAATCGCTTGAACCCAGGGGGAGGATGCTGCAGTGAGCCGAGACTGCACCATTACACTCCAGCCTGGCAAGAGTGAAACTCTGTCTCAAGAAAAAGAAAAAAAAAAAAAAAAAAAAAAAAAAAAAAAAAAAACCGTTCTCAAGAAAAAGAAAAAAAAAAAAAAAAACAGAACAGTATCAGTTGCCTGTGTGCCCAGACACTTTCCAAAAAGGACAAGAGCCACCATTTAAAAAAGGAAACAAACCAGATGTGGTGGTGTGTGATGTGTGCCTATAGTCCAGCTACTCTGTACACTGAGGAGAGTAAACAAAAATAAAATTCTAAGCTCCTGCAACCAACTGAATGGATCCTCTTCATGGTCAAGGGCATTCCAAAGGAAACCAGAAAAACTAGTTTAGGCCATGATGGGAGGGAGAAGTCAGAGAAACCTCATTACACCCTCTTCCCTTTGGAATTCAGGAACAAATGACCAGCATTAAAACAGAGATCTTAAAACTGACAAAACAAAGTCCTTGTAGCAATAACATGCCAAATTCCAACCTGACTCTATATAGCATCACATGACAGATAACAGGCCCTAAAAGAAACCCAAGTATTTTACTCCAAAATATATTTCTTTGTATATTTTGAAATGACCCTGCAAAGCTGTCTCTTACAAGCAAAACATAGAATCTGTAAAGAATCTCCTTCCCTTTCCAGGTCTTTTCCTGATCCAGGAGAGAATTAAAAGTCTGGTACCTTTTAAGTCTGATAAAGGACATTTACAACTATTTTCTCTAAAGCTGTAGCTAATAAAAACCTTGGTCTCCACAACCCCTCATTTTAGACCAGACACTCCTTTCTGTTGACTTCAGACCTTTAGAAAATAACTCTTTCAACCAATTTCCTTTATTCATTCATTCATTTATTTAATTTATTTATTTATTTATATTTTTGTAGAGATGGGGTTTTGCCATGTTCCCCAGGCGGGTCTCAAACTCCTGGGCTTAAGCCATCCTTCCCCTTCAGCCTCCAAAGTCGCTGGGACCACAGGTGTGCACAACCACCCTCAACTAATTTTATTTTATTTTTTTTAGATGGAGTTGTGCTCTTGTTACCCAGGCTGGAGTGCAATGGTGCGATCTCGGCTCACTGCAACCTCTGCCTCCTGAGTTCAAGCATTTCTCCTGCCTCAGCCTCCCAAGTAGCTGGGATTACAGGCATGTGCCACCATGCCTGGCTAATTTTGTATTTTTAGTCGAGACAGTTTCTCCACGTTGGTCAGGGTAGTCTCAAACTCCCGATTTCAGGTGATCCTCCCGCCTTGGTCTCCCAAAGTGCTGGGATTGCAGGCGTGAGACACCATACCCAGCTAATTATTTTTTTTTTTAAGGTAGAGACGAGGTCTCATCATGTTGCCCAGACCAGTTGGTCTCTAACTCATGGGTTCAAGCAATCCACCTGCCTCAGCCTCCCAAAGTGCTGGGATTACAGGCATGAGCCACTGCACCCAGCCTCAATCAATTTCCAATCAGAATATCTTTAAAACCACCTTTGACCTGAAAGGCTCCCCGCTTCCCACTTCAAGTGGTCCCATGTTTCCTGATAGAAACAATGTACATCTTACATATATTGACTGATGTCTGCCTGTAACTTCTGACCCCTAAAATGTATAAAATCAAGCTGTAACCCCACCACCTTGGGCACATGTTCTCAGGACTTCCTGGGGCTGTATCTGGGCCTTGGTCACTCATATTTGACCCAGAATAAACCTCTTTAAATAGTTTACAGAGTTTGACTCTTTTTTGTTTTTTTGAGATGGAGTCTCACTGTTGCTCAGGCTGGAGTGCAGTGGTGCAATCTCGACTCACCGCAGCCTCTGCCTCCCAGGTTCAAGTGATTCTCCTGCCTCAGTCTCCCGAGTAGATGGGATTACAGGCACCAACCACTATGCCTGGCTAACTTTTGTATCTTTAGTAGAGACAGGGTTTCACCATGTTGACCAGGCTGGTCTTGAACTCCTAACCTCAGGTGATCCACCCACCTCAGCCTTCCAAAGTGCTGAGACTACAGGCGTGAGCCACCATGTCCAGCTTGTTTGTTTTTTGTTTTGGTTTGGTTTTTGTTTTTGAGAGGAGGTCTCACTCTGTCACCCAGAGTGGAGTGCCATGGCATGATTTTGGCTCACTACATCTTCTGCCTCCTGGGCTCAAATGACGATCCTCCCACCTCAGCCTCCTGAGTAGCTGGGACTACAGGTGCACACCACCTGCTCAGCTGATTTTTGTAGAGACAGGGCTTCACCATGTCGACCAGGCTGGTCTTGAATTCCTGGGCTCAAGTGATCCTTCTGCCTCAGCCTCTCAAAGTGCTGGGAATACAGGTGTGAGCCACTGGGCTCAGCCAGAGTTTGACTCTTTTGCATCAACAAACGAGAAGGAAGGCTGCTTGAGGCCAGGAGTTCAAGAATAGCCTGGGCAACATTGTGAGACCCTGTCTCTAAAAATAAAAACAAAAATAATGAGGCTGGCATGGTGGCATGCCATCTATCGTCTCAGTTACTGGGGAGGCTGAGGTGGGAGGATCACCTGACCCCAGCAGTTTAAGACTACAGTAAGAAATGGTTATGCCACTACACTGCCACCTAGATGACAGAGCAAGACCCTGTCTGTAAAAATACATAGGTATAAGCCGGGCGCGGTGGCTCAAGCCTGTAATCCCAGCACTTTGGGAGGCCGAGGCGGGTGGATCACGAGGTCAAGAGATCGAGACCATCCTGGTCAACATGGTGAAACCCCGTCT